TTGAGAAGGTGTTGCTGTGCTGCCTTCTTGAACTGCTGCAATCCATAGTTGATGTATGTCCATTGTTGCCATACTGTTTGGCACACCATTTCACTCAGGGAACAGACCAGAGAGAGGGTTGACAAGAGGCAGCAAGTGGGAGGTCAGCAGAGTGGCGAGACTGCAAGGAATTCAGTGTGTACCAGTGATCAACAACCATCTAAAAACATTGCTCTGTCATGGTGGCAGCTATCTAATGGTTCCATCGTCAGTTGCACCACAGGCACTGTGGCTGCACGTGTGGTGAGTGTAATCCCTGTCACACTGGTAGAAGAAATGCACTGGATTGAAAACAAAATTTCCACTTGCACCAGGTCCCAAAGCAATGTGATTTAACATACCCTGAACCAGATATTCAAAGTTTGCAATAAATCAGTCTGCTGATTATATGGAATTCTGTATCCTGGCATCCAATGATCTGTGAATGTTTAGCAATCAAATGAACTGTTCAAAGATTATAATATTTACGCAAAATTTTCAATGTTTTATACCTGCAATGCTCCTCACCAATCTTGACAATTTCTAAAATGCTAGCAATCAAGATTTTTTTCAAAAATCTTAGACACAGGAAAAAAAATTGTAAGGCATTGCAGCTTATGAAAATCAGTCTCCACTGGAACAAAATTCCTGAAGAAGTGTCCTGACCTGAAACTTCATCTCTCGTGCTCTTCTGATGCTGCCTGAACTGCTGTGTTCCTCCAGCTCTATACCACATTGATTCCAATTTGCCTACAAGCTGTTCAGTCTGATTGTTGCATGACATCCGTTAGCAGTAGAATAGCTCACTTGCTGTAGTGAAAATGCAAAAGTTTACCAAAAGCTTGATCAACGCATAGTAGACAGTTGGAAATTGGCTGCAACTTGAGAAAAATACGCTGAGGTGGGTGAAGCTCTACATTCCAAGCAATGTTCAGGCAACTGCAGAGCAATGAAACAACTTGACAATTACGTGGGAGTTAAGGGGGAAGTGGGCAGAGCAGGAAAGAATTGTTGAGTCATGAGATAGCATTCGTGTCATCGCCATTGAAAACCAGAAACCTGTTTCCATCAGCCCTATTCCAAATACATTGAACCTTAAAAGTATTCTGAAAATAGTCCACCTCTTAGATCACTGAATTGTCTCCCTCTCCCTCCAATCCCCTTCCCACCCCATGCAGTACTCAGGAGTTAGGATTTGGTAATTATAAATATTGCCATTTTCGGTGGGCAGAGTTTCAATCTTGTTGACAAGCCAGATGGACTGTAGTGAAGAGGTTGCAACATAGCACCATCTGTTCTGCATATCAGCTCCCCCAGCATGTGACGAAGACATTTGTTGTAATGAGGAGAGATGATGGAACAGGCTATAAAAATTCAACACAAATATAATTTCCTGCCCAAGGGTGACCAATTCTTACCAGCTTGCTTCCAGGGCTCATCTTCCTGCTGAAACCAATGACCTACTTGAGACACAAGCTTAGGTACCTGCAAAGTTGTTGTTTTGCAACATTAAAAACCCACCTGGTTCACTAATGTCCTTCAGGGAGGAAAACGGACTCCTTTACCTAATTAGGCATACATATGACACTAATCGCACAGCAAAACAGTTGACTCTTAACTGTCCTATGGGCATCTACATTCCAGTCAAGCCAGCTATGCCCACATCTCACATATGAGATAACTTTCTAAGTTTGGCAGATGCCACATTTTCAGCCTAGTTATAACATGCACCATCGAAAAACTGTGTTGCTATCCATGCTTTGGACACTGCAACCAATTTATGTATTAAAAACACTTCACCCAACCACTAGTCAGTACGGCAGACAAAGGGAATCAGCATTCGGTTTGCAGTGCAACTCAATTTTACTAACAAAATATTCCTCATGAAAACATTGAGCATTTCCTAAATTCCCACAATACTTACTCCATCTAGCAGTATCCATCTGTGAAGATATTACCTACAATCTCCTCCTCTGATTCTTCACTGAAGGTCTGGTGTGTAGGTGTCTTCTCCACCTAGGCCCTAACCTTCCAGAATGATCTGTGTGTCCTTTGGCCAATGGGGTAATGAACTGAGTTCAAATCATCCAATGGAGCCACACCAACAGCCCTCACTGTTGCAATACCAGAACATGTAAAGTGTAGATACTCTAGTATCAAAGGTGCCAAAACGTCTGATCAACACTTCTCAAACGCACAACCGGCTCCTCTTGAACCTTTGCACCTCTTTGATTGCACTGCTCTTCAAAACAGAGAGCTGCTGGCTGCTGTTTAATTTAGTTTGGTCAATTTTCTGTCCTATTTCTCTGACTGTGGGTCAAATTTAGAATGTCCAATTTTGAGTCTGTGATCACTTGACAGCAGTATGTAATTCAATTTTCTCTGACATCTACATTTTAAAGGTTATCTCACATATGTTTATATTAGTCAATTCTAAATGATGTGAGGGCATTGGGTCAAGGATTATGTATGGATGAAAACGAACTACTTACTTACTGGTAAGAATGTATCCCAAGTGCTTAGGTACTCTGTTGGTTTGAAAATGCATCTGACTAAAAATCAATTGTCAGGATCCAGAAAGATTCTCATTTAACAGGTATAACATAACAGATAGAGACAAATGGTTTACCTTTTATCCTGTTAGTCCCCAGAATTAAGTACGGGTTTGGAACTTGCGGACTCATTTCCTTAAATGCAAAATACTGCAGATGCTGGCTGCCCACCAATTTCCACAGTTACCTCGACTAGCCCTCTTCATACTTCACTACCTGCGAGATTTCATTCCATTCTCCCAGTTTCTTAGTCTCCATTGCATCTGAACTGATGATCCCACTTTTCACCAAGCTGCCTCTGAACTGCCAATGCTGGAGTGAGATAACAGTGTGGCTGAAGGAACACAGCAGGCCAGGCAGCATCAGAGATGTCAACTTTCCTACTCCTCTGATGCTGCCTGGCTGCTGTGTTGCCTCTGACATGACGTTTCTTTCTCAACCAAGGAGTCCCCCATTGTGGTTGACACTGCTTTCAGTTATATCCAACCCATTGCCAGCATCTCTTCCCCTACTTCCCAAAAGACAATAGACTTCCACTTGTCCTCGTGTTCCACCCCACTAGTCTATACGTTCAAAAGAATGATCTGCCATTTCTACCACTACAAGCAGGATGCCATCACCATCTTCCCCTCCCATCCATCATGAGCATTTGCAGGGATCAGTCCTTTTATGACATCCTGGTCTACTGCTCCACCACCACTCCAAATACTTCCGCACCCCTCCATGGTATCTTCCCATGCAATCAGAGAAGATGCAACAATTGTTCATTCATCTCATCCCTCCTCACTGATCAAGACCCCAAATAGACCTTACAGGTGAAGCATGTTTCACTTGTACATCGTTCAATCTAGTACACTGCATTTGCTGTTCAAAATGTGGTACCTTTTACATTGTCAAGGCCAAAAGCAGGCTGCGTGACTGTTTTGCGGAACACCTTAGCTTGGTCCATAGGAATGACCATGCCCTCTCAGTTCCTTACCATTGCAATAAACCACCTTGATCTCATGCCAATATTTCTGTCCTGGGCCCGCTGCAATGTTCCAATGAAGCACTACACAAGCTCAAGGAACAACATCTCCTTTTACACTTAGGCACTTTACAGCCTCAAAGTCTCAATATCAAATTCAATAACTTCAGAAACTGATGGCAACGTGCCTGTTCATCATTTTTCTTACATTCTCTTCCCACATAATCAGAATCCTTTTCTCATAATTAGTACCTTCAAGATTTTCATGATTCTGTCATGTTGAATGCAGGATGAAAAGTTTGACAATTCTGTACTACCAAATGACTACTTATAATCGAAGACATTATAATCACAAACCAAAAATGCTTTCTTAACCAGAAAAATCAAAAATCCTAAAGCGTAATGATTAGCATTAATGATAAAAAGAATGCTTAGACAACATAAAAGAGGAATCCAGTGGGTTATAGGCTTAGATGAAGATGACCAAAAATGAGCACAAAGTACAGAAACTGATCGGAAGACTGCTGAGGATTACTCTGCAACATGACCATGTAGAAAAAAAAAACAAGGTGGTGAATAAAAATTATACTGGTAAGCTGGAATCGGGAGACGAGAAACTGAAGTTAAATTGTTACCTTGCATCAGACTTCAAAATGTGAAGTCAAAACAGATTTATAGTGGAGGAGTGAGACAATTTACAACAGCAAAGGATACAGCTGTAAAAAGTTTGATGTTCTTAAAACATGAAGTATCTGGTACACAATTTATACGCAAAAGTATTAAAGCAGAAATAGCTTAAAATTGAGGAGCTGAGAAATAAAAATGACATTTTATTTAATTAGTCAAAATTTCTAGCCCCATTGACAATCCAGAGAAGTATATTTTCACAATATCCTTGAAGAACAAGGACAGGCCCAGAAGGCACAAATATGTAATAACTCATTAATAGGTAATGAGGATGCTGTGGAAGCAAAGTATTGAATATCTTGGGTTTTAGCATGAATCTGCTCAGTTTTGTTGGAGCTTTTTGCTGAGCTCCAGTAATATAGCCCCAATTCAAAATGGATAATTGGAATTGATAACATACAGACCAATACTAGAAGATGATGCTTTGGCATAGAATCAACTCCAGTTGCATGGCAGTCCAGACCTTGACTAATGCTAAGAGAAGAACAAGAGACATGCTGTCAAAAAGTAATCTTGCACTCTTCAGGATGGACTTGAGAATACCAATTTCAGAAGGAACAACAAGTTATACTTTGAGGCAAAGAATGTTAACTGGTTGGAAAACAGTCTGATAGGTTGTATCATGCAGAATGTACTAAGAAATGGTTATCCTCAAGTTCTTTTTAAACTGAAAAAGAATGTCATGAGTGCAAGATGAAATGTTTCAAAAGCAACTTTTTCAGCAATACTCAAATCAACTGATATTTCATGCAGCAATTTTAATTTAAACACTCTGGAATCTTAACATTTACACTTAAATAGCTAACAAAAAGTGCTCTTTAAATGTTAAGTACTTTTTAATATGGTCCAAGTATTGGACATTGCAAACAGTCTAGGTTATACAGAGTTGAGACAACGGACAGCTGGTGCAAGGGCAACTATCTAGTAATAGCTCCTTGGTCATAAGCTGCACAAAGTTGCCTTTCCAAAAGGGCTGAGAAGATAACGACCCAATCCTCAAAAGGTAATACGTAGTATTAATGTGCTATTTAAAATTTCAATGATCATAAATCATCTGAATTCTCTTAAATTACTTTTCCAGGTATTTATTGTTCCAATTGTTGTTCAGAATGGATTCATTGAGATATTGATTTACATGCAATTAGAATATGTACATGTGCAATGTTAAATCAAAAGCACCAAACATAATACATACATACCCTCAGATAAAACTTCCCTGTACAAAGTACAATGATTATAGTTTTAAAAAAAAATATAAACAACCTCAACTAGAGAGGAAGATCATTTTGCCATTTTAGCTGTTCTTGTGCGTAATCGCCTCTTCATGATTGAATGATCACTTTCTTTTTCACTCATCTCTATTATCTGCAAGTGTAAAAAGAGTTTCAGTTTAAATTCAACACATAATGCATTACAAGATTCTAGAATGCATTTAAGCAAAAGCTTATTAGAATTTAAACTTTCTCTATCAATAATTACATCACATTGCATATATGCCAGGAGTCTGCAGATTTTGAGCAGTCCAAAATTAACAGTTGTCTCAGAGAAAGTCTGAAGTAGTCACAATTGAACTTGAAATATTAACTCTGCTTCTCTCTTCACAGCTGCTGCCAGACCTGCTGAGATTGTCAACTATTATGTGTGTTTGAGTCAGAGGAGGATCTGACATGCTATCGATTACAGCTTTGGACCAGTTAATATCAACAATTTGTAATGAATATAGATTTTCTTGATGCATCAAAAAGGACCCAAAAATACAATGACTCAACAGTTCTTTTAAAAAAAACAGGACTACGCTTTGGTGCGCAAGCTTTGTTTTTCAGTTAATCAAGTTGAAAACAGAAAAATCTTTTTCAAAACTTCAAAGCTTGATAGTTTAACAAATGCAACTTCAAAATAATTTGACCTCTTGTCCAAGCACAAGGTTACGAATATATTATTCAATATTCCACCAGAAAAAATACTTAAGGTTGCTATTGTTCCAAACAAAATAAGTGTGACTTACCATTTGGGATGGGAAATTCAAAGGAGATGATATATCTTGCTTGTATAGTTTCCTTCTTGATCTTTTGGGTCTTACTTCATTATTACATGAAGTTTCCATTTCTGGATGTTTGGGGGAGCTTAAGGTTTCCATTAACTTTTTGGCTGTAAATAAATGTAAACTGTTCAATAAAGTGCAAGGCGTGTAATCAGAGAAATATCTACTGTATTTTAATTCATTTTAGAGTATGTGGACTTTTCTGGCTGTGCTGAATAGGTAGTGAGCTACAACATATAACAACTCTGTTTCTTAATAGTTCAAAGTGCTTTGTACTCCATGGCCTGCAATTAAGTCAGATAGCTCAAATCAGGAAATTGGCGCACCTGCCTTTGGAGAAAGTGTGCTAGGTGAACAGGACCTTCATTCTTAGATTGCGTTGGGGGCAGCTGGGGTCATTGGTTGTTTGAGCCTGCTTTAGTTCTGTTTGGAACCTGTTTGTTTTTTTTTTAAATTTTTAGGCCCTTGGGTCCTCAATCCCCACCTAATCTTCATGCCATATGTGCCAATCCATGACCCCATGATTGGCAGACCTCAAGAATCATGAAACAAAATAGAAAAATTCCACGCTCCTACAAATTTCTAATTTAAGTCTTTTAAATGTAGATAAAAGTAAAATGTGCACTTCCTCACTCTTGGTCAAACACCATCTTAAAATCTCTATGCTCTGGTCCTTGTATGATCAGGTTATGGGAACAGCCTTCCTCTGACAATTTTATCTAAACTAGTCATAATCTAATTAAATGTGCTACTTTTCTGCCCATTCTGCTAGTCTATGTCCTTTGCAGTTCATTGTTTAACCACACCTTCTGAGATTGGTGCTGGCATTTTTTAAAAAAAAAATCTGTACTCTATATTTAAATATCCAAGTTATAACATATCTCAAGAAAAATAATCCAAGCACTGAATCTTGGGCACACCACTGTGTTCCATCCACAATTTTGAACTGTCTGAGGAAGGGTCACCGGACGAGAAACGTTAACTCTTTTTTTCCTTCACAGATGCTGCCAGACCTGCTGAGCTTCTCCAGCAACTTTGTTTTTGTTCCTGATTTACAGCATCCGCAGTTCTTTTGGTTTTTAATGGGTGAAGGTGCTCAGGCCTAAAGTTATTGGACTTGAAATAGAGTCCAGAAGACTGCGGGTTCCCCAAGCAGAAAATGAGATGCTGTTCTTCCAGCTTGCACAGAGCCTCGCTGGGGCACTGTAGCAAGCTTGAGACACAGGTTTTGGCCAGGAACATGGGTGTTTTGAAATGACAGGCAACCAGAAGCTCAGGGCCATTTTTGCGGACAGAACGTTACCCAGTCTGCGCTTCATCTCCCTAATGTAGAGGGGACCATATGGTGAGCAGCAAATGCAGTATACCAGATTAAGTGAAGTGCAGATAAATCACTACTTCACCTGAAAGGAACATCTGCAGCCTTGGATAGTGAGGAAGGAGAACATAAACAAGCAGATGTTACACTTTCTGCAATTGCAAGAGAAGGTGCTGTGGGGAGGCATTTGCCAAGATGTTCCAGAAGGAAAAAGGTCCCTGACCAGGTAGGGGAGGGGAAATGTGTTTGATGGTGGCATCCTGCTGGAGGTGGCAGAAATAGCAGCTAATGAGCATTTAGATGTGGATGCTGGTAGGATGGCAGGTGAGGGACTGGGGGACTCTTACGTTGTTGTGGGAAGGAAGAGAGGGGTTGAGGGTCAAAGTACTGAAGATAGGTTAGAAGTGGCTGAGAGCCTGGTCAACCATGGTGGTGAGGAAATCCTCAGGTGAAGATGAAAAGTGGACATTTCGCAGGTCCCCTTGTCAAAGTTGGCATCATCGGAAGAGATGTGAAGGAGACGGAGGAACTGGGAGAATAGTCTTTACAGGGAGCAGGCTGTGTGGTGAAGGTAACTGTGGGAGTCAGCGGATTTGTAGTGGATATTGGTGGCCAGCTGATCCCCAGGAATAGAAACTAATGTCAAGGAGTGAAAGGGAGGAGTCAGATGGACCAGGTGGAGGTGGGAGCAGGGTAAATTTGAAAGCAAAAATTCAAATTTTTCCAAGCAGCACTGATGATGTCATCAATGTACCAGAGAAAGGAGAGTTGTGGGTAGGGACAAGAATAGGATTGGAACAAGAAATGCTCCGTGTGCCCTAAAGAGATAGGCATAACTGGGCCCCATGCAGGTACCCGTGGCCACCCATTTAACCTGAACAAAGAGAGGAGTTAAGGGAGAAGTTGTTCAGGGTGAAGACGAGCAGGGTCAGGCAGAAGAGAGTGGTGGATAGGGACAGTCAGGCCTTTGTTACAGGAAGAAACGGAGAGCCACGAGACCATCCTCATGGGGGACGGACGTGTAAAGGGATTTTACATCCACAGTAAAGAGGCGGGAGCTGGAGTCCACGAACTGGAAATTCTGGAAGTGATATAAAGCATCAGAGGAAATTGCAGATGTAAGGGGGAAGGGACTGGACATATAATTAAAGGTAACTGTAGGAGTTTGTGGGTTTATAATAGATATTGGTGGCCAGCTTATCCCCAGAAATGGAAACCTTTGGTCAACTGTTTTTTTGTTTTTTTTTTTTTAAAATATATACACAATACTTTAATATCCCTGTAGATAACATTCAGTGCATGCCCCTCATCAACCTTGTTATTTCAAAAATTCCAACTAGATTACAGGCATTATCTGCCTTCTCCTCAATTAACTCAGATTTCTCTAAACATTTCACCTACGAAACTGACTTAGAACTGTCATTACACATTTTCTTGAATAAGGGGATTACATTTGTTACTTTCCAATCTTCTGACACATCCCCAAAACGTAGGGAAGTTTGGAACATTAAGATGAGCTGTTCCACAATCTCCAACCCCTTCCTTTAGCAACCTGAGATGCAAACCATCAGGACCAGATGAAGCTTCCATCCAAATAAAAGCATCCTTTCCTATATATACAGTCCATCAATTTTCAGCCCAGAATCAAAAAGACAGGAGGTGCCTATGTGACCCATCATACGTGTACTGGTTCTATCATCTACTGTCAATCTCCTGCCTCTTCCCGTATATCCCTGCACACAATTACTGTCCAAAACAAAAGACATCTAGTGCCCCCTTTAGTATCTCAATTGAATCTGCCTCCATCACATTTCCAGGCAGAACATTCCACATCCTAAAAACTTGCTATGTGTAAGTTTTCTCACATCTCCCTTGCTGTTTGCACATCACGTTAAATCTATAGCCTCTTGTTCTGGTTTCTTTTACAAGTGAAAAACGCTTCACTTTGTCTATTATGTGCAGATCGCTTATGATTTTGTAAACCTCAATCAGATCTTCTGGCAGTCTTCTCCTCTCCAAGGAGGACAGGCTCAACTTCTTCAAACTATCCTCATAGATGAAATTTCTCATACCTGGAACCATTCTAGTAAATTGCTTTTTCTCTTTCTCCAAAGCATTTACATTATGCTATGATGTGGCACCCACAACTATACACAATACTCAAATTGTTTCTAATAACTTCCCAGACTACCAAAGTTTAACTAACTGGTGTTTAATTGTTGGGACTAGCCTTACAATCATTTTTGAACAAGAACCTAACATTGACACCTCCAGTCCAGGGAAGACTGAAATATTGTTATGGTCAGTGCCTCCACAATTTCTTCTCGCTTCTCTCAAAATCATTGGATGCATCTCATTGGGTCTCAGTGCCTTATTAACTTCAGCTGCCAACAATCTTTGATTTCTTCCTTATTAGTTTTGATCCCTTCTAGTGAAAGAGTTTCTTTCTCAGTCACTATGTCCTAGACTGCATCCTCCTCTTTTGTAAAGAAAGGTGCAAAGTTTTCACTTAACGTCTCAACCACGGCCCCTGTTTTCATCTATAAATCTCCCTTTTCGGTCTCTGATCAGCTTTAGTCCTCCTTTAACCATCCTTACTGTTTATTCGCCTATAGAAGACTTTGAGATTTCCCGATGTTATTTGATTGTTTTTCTTATTTGCTTCTTAACCACCCCTTAAACCTTTGGTATTCCTGTTGATTTCCAATTGTATTTTCTGCCTTACAGCAGTCATAAATATACTTTTTTTCCTAGTGTTAGGATTTCTATGTCGCTGGTCATCCAGGGAACTATCAATTCGTTTGTCTTACCATTTGCATTAGAGGGAATATGCCTCATTGGTACTTAGATAATCTGTTCTTGAAGGTGGCTATTAACTAGACTAGCTCTTAGGATAAAGGAGTTGGCTTATCAAGAATAGCTAAACAGGTTAGGCCTTTATTCTTTAGAATTTGGGAGAATGAGGGGTGATCTTATTGAACAAAAACAGAAGTTGCTGGAAAAGCAACTGTTCCTGATGTACAGCATCCGCAGTTCTTTTGGTTTTTATTTTGTGATCTTATTGAATCTGATTCTTGCAGAAGCTCTGGTGAAAAGTTCATGTGAGCATATGGGCCACAGAAGGGGAAGTCTGTGCAAATGACACTGAAGTAAAACTGGCAATGATAAATGGATATGCTATCATTATTAATAAATTCTCAAATAAATAGAATCGGATTCTAAGGGGGGCATGACAAAAGGATAGATGTTGAGATGATGTTTCCACTAAGGAGGGATTCTCGAGATAGGACATATACTTACAGAACAAGTGGACACTCATTTAAAGCAGAGATGTGAAGAAATTTCAGGTGGTGAACGTATGGAATACTCTACCCCAGAGAGCTGTGGAGGCCAGATCACCGAAATAACTTAAAGAGAAGGTTGATAAAATTTTAAAATAGAGGAGTTGAGGGTTTTGAGGAGCTGGCATGAGTGAGGCACATCACCCAATATCTTGTATAATGGCGGGCAGGCTCAAGGTGCCTACCTCTTGCTTCCATTTTTGTGTTTTATGCTTCTATCCAAAGAATCCCTCCCATCTCAAAGCTTGATTCATTGCAATTTCTTTCTATTTTTGCTCATGGAGGCTTTAGGACCATGGTAACTTCACTGAAATAATAATCCAGGCTAATCTTCTTGGGACATAGGTTTGAATCCCACCTTGTCAGAGGATGAAATTTGAAAAATATGGAAATAAAAGCTAGTCTAACAGCAACCATGTAATCATGTTAATTATAATAAAAACCCATCTGGTTCACTAATGTTCTTCAGGGAAGGAAATCTGCTATCCCTACCGGTCTATCACTCTAGAGACTTAATGGAATGTGGTTGACTTTTAAATGCCCCCGGGCAATAAGTGCTGGTCTAGCCATCAACACCCAGAACAAATAATAAAAACATTGTTGAGGGCTTAATTTTTAAAAAAAAAAACTTCCTCTTTAGCTCCTAAAAGTCTGACCATAGGACCTCAAAATCTGCCCTAGGTCATGGGCACCAAATGTACCACCACTGTTGGCTCATTCTACTTTAAGTCATTCTGGTTTGAAAACGTGCAGTTAGAGTTGGTATTCCCGATGAGTTTCCAATTCCAATTTAAATCCATTTTGCATCTTTGACATTGCTGTGTCTCATATCTTGATACAAACTAATTGCTGCCATTCTGAAGAGGGTATGACTGGAGGCATTCATTTATACTTCAGGCAACCACTGTTTTCTTTAACCCAAAATATCTGGAATGAAGTCCTCAATGAAGGGTACCCAAACCATCAGGTTTTGTTTTGTAAGTCAGTAGGTGAAACCCGGGCTGCTCATCTGTGCAGAAAAGGTCTATTTCTTGACTCTACAAGTGGATTTTACCTTTTGAGTCTCAGGTGTGCCTGCAGCAGAGCTTTACATCAGGTAAAACAGAGGCCATTTCAAATCCAACAAGAGTGGCATTTGTTAAAAGTAACAAGCCCACATAGAGGCATTAAACCACTCAAAGCAACTCCATTGAAATGCCTTAGGGATGCTTTAAAGCCACCCCTAAAGAGGGAAGATATCTCCGCCGACTCACGATGGCTGACGAAAATGGGAAAGCATTAATTTTTTATAATATGCCAAAGTATTTTAACATTTACATTCTTCTTGCCAAAAGAGAAAAATGTTGAAAAAGCAGCTTAACTACACTGTTTAACATAGGTTCCCATTGATTTCTAGGATTTGATTAAAAATGCCATTTTCGGAAACACAACCACAACTTAAACGAGGATTTGCAATGCTGTTTTGAAGAGGAGAAGTGTTGTTTAGGACAAATCTTCGCTCTTGTCTAAAGACTCCAGAAACAGGTAACTAATACAATTTTAGCAATTGTTCAGATTCACATGTACATTTTACCATAGCTTAGCACATTCGTATCAACTTTACCTTTGTTCTGTAGTATTGTTGGGGAACTTTGCAATAAGCCTCCAATTTTCTGCAATGTTCCATCTTTCTTTTGGCGTGACCCAAGACTTGATCTAGAGGCTTGTTTTCTTAGTCGACCAGCTGTACTTTTCACATTCTAAGATAACAAAATTTAATTGAGACAACGTAGCAATGCAAATTAAGCCCACAGATGTTTTATATGTGTTGTGTTCTGTTCCAACTCATGTACAGACTCCAGAATGAAACCCATTCGCAACCAAAGGACTGCCTGCAAATTTGTCAATACCCCTTCTCGTTCAACAAAGGTTTTACCTTGTTACAAGGCTTTACTGCAGGAATGATTTTATTTGCGCATTGGTAAAACCAAAAAAAAAAAAAAAAACTTTATTAGCACAATCTTTTTCACTGCAGTGGTTTCGTTCCCATAAAATAAGCAGAGAGAAAAAAAAAAAAGTTTTAGTAGGTTTACTTTTCTAGTAAAGTATTTTAAATGTAGATAAGTTTGTCAAACGTGCAATTTATTTTCTATTACAGTCAGGGATATAAACAGACAACCCATTAGAAAAAGGCTTATTTTTCAAAAGTAGGACAATTAATTTGGACACTCATTCAAGAAATTTTCGTTTCCTTGCTTTGGCTAGCCACTTAGAGATCTTTACCATAATAATTCGTTGGTAAATCCATTAATAGTTTTTGAAAAAGGTCAAAAGTCACATTACACCAGGTTATAGAAGGAAGAATAAAGCGGAACTCCAGACCAGAGTATACAGAAAGACCACCCATATGGATCAGATGCTTAATTACACCAGCAACCACCACCCCGCCCCCAACACCTATAAATGGAGCTGCATCAGGACATTATTCAAATGAGCCACAACCCGGAATTGCACAAAGCAGAACAGGAACACGTACATGGAGTTTTTGAAAGGAATGGATACCCAAAAAGCACAATCTGCTGTTACCTCTGCTACAGACCACAACAAGATGATACAACATGGCCAGACATACTAGTCACCCTACCATACAGAGACATATCAGAGATGACCACAAGACTACTCAGACCCCGAGGTATCTGGGTAGCCCACAAACCAACAACCACCCTGCGACAGCTACTGACAAACAAAGGATCCCATAACCAATAAAAAAAAAAAAACTTATATAATATACAAAATATCCTGCAAGGACTGAGAAACATTACATAGGCCAAACTAGAAGAAAATTGACAACAAAAAGGATGCATGAACACCAGCTAGCTACCAAGAGACACGACTAGTTCTCACTGGTCTCAATACACACAGACAAAGAAGGACACAAATTCAACTGGGACAACACATCCATAATAGCTCAAGCCAAACAGAGACATGTCAGGGAATTTCTGGAGGCCTGGCATTCCAACCGGAACTCCAAACACATCGAACTGGACCCGATATACAAACTAGTGAAAAACAGAATTGGAAGTGATGCCAACCATCCTGGCAAACCGAGGCTTATAAATAACAAGTGAAACAGAACACCAGCACTCCACTGGATGTGCACAGACAATGTTACCTAGCACGGTGACAAAACGTCTGCAATCAAACACACAGGTTCAGTGAGCAAGTCTACAAATTCATCCACAACCCGAGATACCAATCTTCTCAAAAACTAGTCCCATTTGCCAGTGTTTGGCCTATATCCCTCTAAACCTTTCCCAGGGAGTCCAGAACCAAAAGGTCACAGTTTAAAAGATATTGAGTATGCTAACTAGGACAGAGTGGAGGAGAAATTTCTTCACTCAGAGTGGGAAGCCAGTGGAATTTGCTGCCATTGATGGCTGTTGGAGGCCAAAACATTGAATGTTTTCAAGAAGGTGTCAGATATCGTTCTTAGGGTTTATGTGGACCAAAAAAGGGTATGGGGAGAAAAAGTGGGAACAGGGTACAGAGTTGAATGATCATTCATGACCATACTGATGGCAGAGCAGGCTCAGAAAAGAGCCTAATGGCCTACTCCTGCTCCTATTTTCTACCATTTTATGCAAAGGCCACAACCGAGCAGCATACAGGAGAAGGTTGATGGAATGCACATGGAGTCTGGCATGCCAATGGAATGCACATTGTGATGTGCACTGGGTCAGCCTGCTAGATTACCACTTGACAAATGACAAGACGATAAGAGTTGCACTTCAACTAGACAGAATCATCATGCAAGTTTGCTCCTCTCACACTTTCCTTCAATTTCCTTGTGGACTCAGACACTGGAGGTTTTAAAAAAAAGAAACTGACTGCAGCCTTTGGATGAATAGTCAGCAAGCTCCTTGCCATTCCTTTAAAAATTCAACACACTGCCATATAGAGGAGCTTACCACAGCACCAAAAGTACCCCAGAGTACTTTCAGAAATATTTTAAAAGTCACTTTGCATGCGCAATACCAAGCCCTTTAAACATCAGTGCCTGGTCCCTTTTATAGCTGAATGGCTATTCTTCGCAGTGACATGCAAATACATTGCAGTAATCTACTCAGCTAAATTTGCAAGTTGAGTATCTCTCAGACTTAATGGTTTCATCATATCTGATGCTTTTGGTGCAAACAGGGGACCCCTGCACAAGCACTATTCCCAGTGACTCTTCAGATATAAACATTTCCACAACCCTATTGCTAAAAATTTACATTTCTGGGAGATGGGGCAGCATGCTTACAGATCTCCACTAACACAGCAATTCATTACAAAAGAGTACACCAACTTCTAACAATCAGACCAGTATTGCATTTACAATTGTGCAAGCATTTAATTGATTAGCCTCCTAGTCAATACTGCCTTGGAGTACTAACAGACGAGGCTGGCTTCATCCAGAAAGACACACTAGATTTTTGAACTGGCAGCAGGACAATAAGTCAAAATTGCATATTAATTGATCAGAAAAATTGAGTCCAATGCAAATTATGCCCTGTAATTTGTTAAAAATAGGTAATAAACGCAAACACCAACCTCTTCTGCAATGCTAGTGGGAGCAGGAAAAGTCAGAGGACTGGTGCATGCCATTCTAGAAACAAAGTGCATTTTTCAAGTTTTCACAAATCAAATCAATCTAAATGCAAAAAGGAAGGACAACTAAAGTACCCATCAGCATGAGTTTAATTTACTTTGCAAGTATACCAACAGTCACTAGCAAACAATGCAACAGAATTACAAGCACAAGTCTGTGGAATGAGGAAATTATATTTAATCCCAAAAGAAGTTATATTTCAGAGAATAATTTCTAGGTGCACAACTGTCAAGTTAATCGGGCAATTGTTGAAAGTATTTACCACTCGATATAGGTGTATATACTGCACCTGTGGAATATGGAAGATCTGTGACTCAAATGCCACAAGCTCAGTGAAATTACAAGTATTTTTCCCCCCTCACCTTCGCAGTAATGCCCTAAGCTTATTGAAAAAGTACTATCTACTTATTTGGAATCAAAACACTGTGGAAAGAAGTGATCAAGTTAATAGAAGTTATGTAATATTTCTGTCAGCTTTACTTGTCTTGATAACGTTCTGAAATAATGTCAGTTTTAATGACAAATCTATAGTTGTTCTACAAGTTATATTCTAAATTATAAAAACGAACAGTATAGAAGTCTTGCACGGTTACATTTGAGATCTGAATTAGCTCTCCTATTTTTATTTAGCAGGCACAGTGCAAATATTGAAATACCCTTTGAATAATCCATTTTCAAATTTCAATGCTTTTTAAATGATAAACTGCTAATGCCTAGATGGGTAGTTAAAATTTTGGACACTATATTAACTCTATAGGCAGCACGGTGGCTGAGTGATTAGCATTACTGCCTCATAGCACCAGGGACCCGGGTTCAAATCCCCCCTTGGACAACTGTCTATGTTGAGTTTACACATTCTCCCCGTGTCTGCATGAGTTTCCTCCGGGTGCTCTGGTTTCCTCCACCTAGCCTGCACATCCTTGGACTGTCGGATTGGCCATGCTAAATTGCCCATTGTGTTCAGGGATTTGTAGATTAGGTGGGTTATGGGGATGGGTCTGAGGGGTGGTGTGGATCTGTTGGACCGAAGGGTCTGTTTCCACATTATAGGGGTTCTATGATAATTGAATGGTTTTTGAGCAAGTTAAAAATCTTGCCCATTGCTTCCAAAGTACGCCTGTGGAGCACCACATCTCAACTAAAAGTGATTGTAGCAAGATATCAATGGACTTGATCATATTTGTCAGCACACAATACTCCCAACTCAAGTAAAGTGCTTGGATTGGTTTTGTTCTTGAAATCTGGTTTCCACACGTCTTCTTTACAAATAATTGTTAGGTCTGTCTCACAGAATATTTTTAAGCCTCAAAAGCATGCGATTTGCCACTGTCACTTTCGCACCTTAGGTCATGGTTTTCCTCACTACCTCATTCTTTTCTCACTTTGCTTTCTATCAAAGTTATTTTTCAGGCATGAACAGTTCAACTTCAATTTCTTTCACAGTGCTTTCCTTCCAGAAAAAGTATAACAAGTTAGAAATACAACTTAAAAAAGGAATAAAATTTTTAGAAGGAAAAAAAACTTGAAGAAAAGTGAGCCGAAACTTAAAATTTTGTTTTTAAATTACCCAAAAATTAGATCATTTTCAACGGCCAAAATACAGGAAGGGAACAGTTAGCCCAGGTGGCTAGTTGATAACATGCGGTTTTGAAAGGATTTCAACAAATGAGTTTTTGAATAGGGTTCGATCCTTGTTCATTCTGGATTAGCCCACCTCATTGCCTTGCCTAGTAGTAAAATCAAGGTACAAGCCAAGATTAGGCAGCCTTGGAAAAAGGAAATCAAGGATGCATACCAAGAAAAAACAGTGAATTATAGAAAAGCCCCATAAAACACAAGCAAAAATTTCTAACAGATCAATAAGCAACGTATAAGGGCACTAATTCATTGAATGCTACAGTCATGCATTTGTTGGCAGAGTAAAATAGTTCATCAAGCAGCAGCAGCGACACATGCCTTCAGGTACAGAAAACACTCTGGTTAGAGCATTGCACCCAGTTTTAGAAACCAAACTTTTTAGGAGTGATTTTAGCTCCAAGGTTTGTTTGAGAAACTGGTGTTGGCCCACTTGGAGTAAAAAGGAGATTGATGGGAGGATAAGGATGCACA